CCTGTAAAAACAACTTGGAACATGATGTGATTAACCTTTGGTTCCCTCATCCCCTCATCCCCAAGCCCACCTCATGCATGGCCTATGCTTCCTACTCATGTTCAGCCATCTGATTTCCATAACACCCACTCACTTCCACCAGCGGGGCATTAGCATAACAGAGCTGTAGCGTGACTTTGATTGAAGCCAGCTTGGGCTGAATGCAGTATCAAAGCATAATTTAGCAGAAATCAAATCTAATTTACTGTGCATTGTATTTAAATTCTCAAAAATGCAGTTTCAAGTGAACAATACCAGACCTCTAATCTTAATTGACCTTTTTACATGTGGGTATACTTCTCTGGAAAGCACACAACACGTTCTTCCTCTAAAGCTATTGTTTTTAACTTGTGAGTATCAATTGAACACTGAATTGTACCACTGTTTTCTTCATCTCACTTCTTGTTACAGCTGTAACAATAAGGTATAATCATTTAACAGATTAAGCAACTCTGTTATTACATCGCAGCCACAAAAGATTTGTCTACTGCTTTTGGATTTTAGAGAGGATATAAATATGTATTTTATAGTCTTCTGTCTTAGAAATATGTAAGAGAATTGCCATTTCTGTAAGTAGCATATTCTTCTGGAGTTTATAACTCAACCTCTTTAATTCACATTGGGTTTAAATGTGTGTTTTGAATTGTCATCCTGAGGACCCAATCATGTTTTTTTATGTATAATGAGAGCATCATAGAAAATCCATTTTATGTATAGCACACTTTTTGCTACCGTGCTGTATTGATAAAATGCCACCTCTCTGTCTACTCCCTCCCATTGGTACCTTCAGCCAAACACTGCCTTTTCAAACCATTTTCACTGCCACCTGGCAGAAATACTGAAAATGTGAAATGTTAGCAGAAGAATTATTGATGCAGTTTTTCATTTTAAAACCTCAAAAATAAATTCCTTCAGCTGATATCCCTTCACAGAAGATTGCAATATAGATCTTGAGCAGACAGAGTCCACAGAAGTAAAAGTGATTGATGCAATTTGTTTGGTGGTCCAAATGAAAGTGACAATAGGAAAGGATGTACATTTTCAGAGACTTAAATACTTTTGAATTTTTTTGCTTGGCTTTGATATGTTTATTTTTGTTTGTTTAATTTTAGAAATGATAAAGGTGAGTCCCATTCCAGTGTGGCTTAAGTTCTGGTGATAAGAAACTATTTGGTACATTAGAAGTGGAGTATATTTATAATAATTTGGAATAAAAATACAATATAAGTAAACATCATGTGAAAGAGTACTTCACAGCATGAACAACACAAATGCTGAGAGTATTTTGTTAGAGGTCTTTCAAAAAGTTCGGTATTGGGTAAAAACTCAAAAAAAATGGATTCCCTGCCTTCTTAGGGTCTATCATTATTAGCAGATATTACATTGTAATATTGCAGAATTTCTTTGTCCTTTAAGAGTTCTGATGAAATGTTCTCTTTAGTTGCTACCATGACTAACGGCCCTCTACTGGATTTTCTGCCCGGCTTGCTAAGATTTTCCAGCCTCACATCTGTCCTTTCTCTTTTACAAAGAACATTCTATCTAAAACACAAATTTTATTACATCTTTCTTGCATCAACATTTTTGAACAGGTATCCATAGCTTTCAGGGCAAAATTTAAGCTATTTTAGCACAAATTATCTGTCCCTCTAACACTTTTGAATCTCCATTTTTTTTATTCTTAAGGTCATTTACCCTCCACTAACACATCCAGCCCCTCGTGTCTCTGCCTTATGTCTGCTTCTGTCTGTTCCAAGTGACCTGCTTCTCTTCATCCAGTGAACTCTTACTTGTGCTTCAAAACACAACTCAACCATAGCCCTTTCCGGCATCTTCCTCTTCCATGTTCATCACCTGATCTGTTTGCTGCTTTTCCAAGCTTTCTCACCCAATGCCCACTGCTATTTGTATTATTATACAAATCATACTCTTCTGTATTTGTGTTTATTTACTTATTTACTTGGGAGTTTCTGCTGATTTTTTATTTGGCTTTCCGTCCTCTGTACCAAACAGAATGTCTCATAATTTGTAGGCAATCAATGCATTTTGAATGAATAAATGAATGAATCCTATCTTTTCAGGAAAGCAGAGAGATTGATGTGGTCATTTGCCAGTCCTTTTGGGGGGTATCTTTTAGCAGCTGGTTAAAATTATAGGATCTAGACTCCAAAAGCATTTTGCAAAATCACTCATCTACTAACAAGTTCTTAAAAGCTTAAAAATTTAAGGAAATCTGTAGTTATAATTAAAGTATAGATGTTAATTTTACTGAAATAGATGGATAGATACAGAGTAGGCATAATATGCTGAAAACTATAAAATATATTTTCCTTTTGTAATTTGGTGTTTCATTTGATGATTTCAATCATGTGTATTCTCGGTTATTTCATTTTAAAAATTAATTATATAAGGAAGAGGCTTCATAGCACATATGGAGCTGTAAGATTTTACTAACTAGTTATGTGAGCCAAAGCAATACAAATGAACAAATAAGCTGAATATGTGACTTCTATCATACTGTTAAATGATTTTTACTAAATCTACTTTTTATTTAATGAGATACAAGCTAAGTTACTCAATACTTCTGGTTTAGTGTCCATATTGGCACTAAACTTGTCTTTCATAGGATTACTAAGAAGTGGGAACTATATTTGATCATTAAATTTTACTTAGTACACATTACTTTCTTGGATATTACAGACGATAGAGACCAATCTTAAGTCTTGTTTGGTGTAAATAATCTGGTAGTTTCACCTCTTCCCTGAAAAATGGACATTGCAATGTTTTAAGAGTTGTCCCTGAAGTAATTTTGTAACATTGATTTAATCTATCATTCCTATTAGAAAACATGGAACAAAAATCAATGTATCTGCTGATTCAGTGAAATTGTGTAGAAATAACAAGAAGATTGTAAGAGGCAAGTAATCTCCTGAAAATGCAAGGCAACATAAACCACATTCTCTTCAAATAGATCCATAAATCTGGGTTCTCCATCCCGTTAGACTGAGTCTTCTGTTATCTATAGTTATAGAAGAAAATTTCACTTAGTAGATTTATTCCCGCTCTCCCTGGGGTATGTGTTGAATGTGTCAAGTTGGGAGGCAGTCTAATAGAACACCAAAAAATAAGTCATTACAAATCTCAGTGAATTAAAAAAAAAAAAAATGTGGCTGCTGTTTCTATACTAGCATTCTTGTAAGAATGAGTAATTTGTTATATGTGTGAGGCTACCCTACATTTACTCTGTTCTTGGACCTGCTTTTGTGTACTCCTGAAGGGCTGAAAGAATTTTGGGTAAAGACCTTTATTGAATGTCATTTTTTTGTTCTAATTGTTTTTAGAGTTCACATTTTAGGATGGGTGCCATGTAGAGCAGGTTTTAAAAATTAACGTTGATTTTAAAGTTTTTTTCTTGGTCTTAAGTTTTTTCAGCATCAGCAATGATTTAAAGTGTAAACAGATGATGAGAAAAGTCATGGAATAAATACGCTGTTTTTTCTTCAACAGGAGTGGGCTTTGATATGTAGAAGATGTCATTGTGAAAACTTCCAGTTATACTGTCTCCTGTCTTTCACTTTCTTCTTTCTTTTTACAGTTAACTCCCAACTTAAACCTGAACTTCCTTAGGATTTTTACCCCCATCATTTTATTCTCTTTTCTAATGGAGCTACTCATGTGTAGGTCTCATTATCTCTGCCTATGTCATTTCCCTCATCTTCCAACCAGACTTCCTACTCTGTTGACTGATGTGCCTCCCTCACAATCCATATCTTATTCCTGAGAGGGTTAAAATTTCCAATGATTTTGCTTTGCATCGAGCATTCCTTAGCGTAGAAAGAGCCTGAAGAAAATCCCCACTTGGGCTTCTCAAAGACTTTCTTAGGCTGTATCCAAATCCATCGTTTTTAGCCAATGATGTTTACAAAACCTGGACCCTTCATTTCTGCCAGATTACACAGTGTACACGAGATGTGTTCTTGCTTCTTGCACTTTGCTCAGTAAACTCCTTGCTTGGAATGTGTTCATTTCACCACTTCCCTAAATGCTGCCCATTCCTTAATGCCCCCATGATGTGCACTTTCTGCAAAAACCCTTTCGTAGTTGCCATAACAGAATGGGATACCTCTGTGCTGTGCTCTGAAAGCACATCAATCATTGAACTTAGCATGGTTTTAGATCATTGTTTTACCTTCCTTTTGCTGTTGTCATCATGTAGGTTGTGAGTTCCTTGAAAGCTGCAAGATAGATACTTTTTATCTCTGTATCTTTAGTGTCCTGTAGGGGAACATAGTAATTGTCTGACTAATGCTTATTTATCTAAATGAAATGAATTAAGTAGAAGCAACTACTTTCATACATGACATTATATCATTAGTTATATTTGTATTTAATTCCCAGCTCTTCAATCCTTTGATGTCTTCAACACATTAACTCTTCAATTCTAGATTATAAACACTTTGAGGATAGGAATTATATTTTAAGTTTTCTGGTATCTCTGCACATAGAACAACGTCTTACAAATAATATAGGAATGGCCAATATTTGTGAATAGACTAATTTCAGAAGACATACTTGTATAACGAAGTGATTTTTTTTTTTTACCTTTATCTATGCAAAACACAAAACCAAATTGGGAAACCATGTTTTTCCTTAAAAACATTAGAACATCATTAAAAATCTATTTTCCTATGCAAATATATGAGCTACAGGATTAATAATATACGACATTTAGAAAATGTCTACTGATAAATTTACTTTTCTTTTCCTTATATTTTATAGAGTGCTCTTCTCCTTTCCCCATCATGTTTTGGAAAATGCTTCACAAAATAAAAAAAAAAATAAAATAAAAACTGTAGCTTCTGTCTGGCACTGAGCCATCCATGTAGTGCCAGATTTTCTCTGATATCTTTTTCTTTGTCAAGGGTTGATATTTATATACTTTCTTTCCTTTTAAATTATAGCTCCTCCACAGTTTGTGGTTAGGCCAAGAGATCAGATTGTTGCTCAAGGTCGAACAGTGACATTTCCCTGTGAAACTAAAGGAAACCCCCAGCCAGCTGTTTTTTGGCAAAAAGAAGGCAGCCAGGTGAGTGTGAACTTTGACTGTTCTTCTGAACCCCTCCTATCTCTGGTGCTCCTCACTTTGTCTGGCTTTTCTTGCTATCAATGATGTATTTATTTTATTTCTAAGGAGAGAACATGCTCAAATATAATGTTCTTTATTGTCTAGTGTGAGTTGTCCAAAATTTTGTCTCTTAAAAAGAATAGGTACAACTCTGTGTTCTAAATTATCTGAAAAAGTCTAATCTGTAGCTACTTAAAATCTCTGAACAGAAAAATAATTTTACTTCTTTGCAGTGAGTGGAATTGGGATTATTAAATGAGTTTGTATATAAAAAGTGCTTAGACTATCCCAGGCACATGTAAAACGGCCAAACAATATTTCCTTTATCAGTCCACCTAGAAACCAGTTTCAATCCCCTTTCATGGACAGATAGTATAAATACCTTTTCTTTACTGGTAACTTAAGGATACTTCCATTTAAGAGTGGGAGAAGTATTTACTTCCATCATCTCTTCTGGGTTCCTTCATAGTGGGGTATATAACACATTATATACCAGAAGGAGCCAACACTTGTCTGCTCTTTGCCGTGCCCTGGTTTGTCCACTCATGGCTATCTCTGGGTGGCATGGCCTTTCAGACTCAATTTAATACACTATTTTTTTTTTCACTTACAACGTGGTCCAAACTTGGACAAGCACTTGGCCTCTAGGTTCTCAGGCAATGAATGGCATTTCTAGCTTACACTAGAAACTGTTCTTTGCCTAAGGACTTACCAGTGAGTTCCTAAAGGACCCAGAGATATTTTTGTTGTAGACTTTCCAGAATCATCTTCAAGGAGGCATACAGTTCTCAGAAAGAGATTTCAGCCCCTGTTATTGTTAGTCCAAATTCTGGAAGAATTTCCTGGGGAATGATGAGAACCATGATTAAGAGTCTGAGGAAATCTAAAAATGGTAGATTTTTAGGCTATGTTAAAAAAAAAAAACCTGTTGGTCAGAATTTATGTATGATTATCTGAGTAGAGAAGCATCAGGATGTTTGACTTCATCATCATCTTTAAATGTCATCGATTCCTATACATTCCCGTACTACCCAAAACTAGCAGTTTTAGCAACTCAGTATAAGATAGACAAACTGTTTTTCTCCCTTTCCTCAAGCTCCTTGTTTGATTCACTTCCCTTATGATTTATGGGATGTAAAGGCAGTGATGGAAAGATGAGATGAAGTGCTGTCCATTGCTTTATCCCACATCAGAACTGTTCCAGGCCTGAGGTGCCTGGGTAGCTCGGCCGGTTGATGGTCTGGCCCTTGATTTGGGCTCAGTTCATGATCTCACAGTTCATGTGTTCAAGCCCCACGTCAGGTTTCTCACTGACAGAGCCTGCTTAGAATTCTCTTTCTCCCTCTCTCTCTGCCCCCCACCAAATAAATAAATAGACTTAAAAAAAAAAAAAGAACTATTCCAGGCTTTAATATTCATTTTTTTAAATTACTTAGTGACTGAATAGATTTCTACTCACAAAAGTTCTTGATTCTTCACTTAAAATTTGCTTTTTGATGAAAACATCCTGAACTCTAAAGTGAGTATAAAGCAACATGAAAGAGTTATAACACATGTGTGTGCACACGTGCACACACAAACACCTTGAAAAAGGAAAGAATTCAAAAGCCATTTTCCCTCCTTATGACTGTGCGATCTTTATAGCACTATTTAACCTCACTGAAGCTTCTTTTCTTAATCTAAAGTGTGAGAATAATACATTTTACTTTGCATAAGTTATGAGGATTACCTGATTAAGTTGGTTTCTACGTGAAACTGCTTTGCACATTATGAAGGTCTGACAAGATGTTAGAAACGAGGAGAATGTGAAGTGCCTCCCCTGTATCCTGGCTGAAGTGGCAAGTTCATACTTCTGCTCAGGCCAGGGATGCCAGGACCTGAACTCCCCCACTGCCCGGACACTACTGCCCCTCACCAAGCCCCAGACTCACACAGTGTTCGAGAAACCTAGGATGGGTGAACCCTACAGAGCCGTGGTAGCTCTACAAGATCCTTTCTCTTTCCTGTAGCTCCCTCCCTTCACCCACCCTGGGGGCTATGGGGTCCATAAAAGTTACTCCTTTAAGCCACTGATAGCAAACATAGTGATATGAATATGTTATTTATTTATCAATTTTATAAATATAATGATGTAGAGAAACTTGATTGTTGCAAATTTACACTTTAAATCCATGTATTGAGTCAAATCCCATTATTATATATGTTGTTATTATATAGATACAGCTATATCATGTGTAAATATCATGCCCTAAAATAGCTCTAGGTTGACACAAGATATTGCATCATAACGTTTTGGTCAAAACAGAACATGTTTTGGTCCTGTGGCCCAATAAACATGATATTTAAATATGCTACATTCTGCTTTAATGTTTTTTAAAGTAATCTAATAGCATTAAGGTACTTCTTTTGCTGTTATTTGACAAAGTGGCATGTAATCCCAGAGACATTAATCTCTGGAAAAAAATTCCAGTTAGATAATTTGATTTGACTATGTCCGTAGGTTTGGTTTTCTTATCTTCATCTATCTCCCTTGCATCAGAGAGAGAAAGAGAGAGAGAGACTGTAAATGAGAATAAAAGTGAATTGCTTGAGCAAATTGTAAAGTTTCAAATTATGAATTGGAATATTAGGAAAAATAAATTGGTCTTACTGTCTCCAGTATCCAATTTTTACAGTGATCTATGACTCTCCATCAGTAGAGAGAGTTAAGAGCCTGGACTTAATGGTCCATATTCCTCAATATGTGCTGATAATGCCTATTAGCACTAATAGGATGCCCAGCCACTTCAAGGCAAGAGGAGTTCTGTAGAATTCCTGGGTTTTGCTTGCAATCCATTTTCTTGTGCCTATGTCACACAAGCAGCGAATAAAGATGATGGGTTAACCTCAATCATATGCCATTTTCCATGTCAACGAATCATTTAGAAGGTGGACTGATATTACGTTGTAGAGGAAGAGATCCCAGAGAGAATTAAGCCTATCTGATGTATTAGTACTATGTAAATTAGTATTCTAATGGCTAATTGCAGGAAAGTGCATACTTTGAGTTATTGTATCATTTGCAAGTAGCTTTAAAATGTAGACCCTTTTTTAGGTGGTTTATTTCAGTAATATATTTGGATTCCACAAGAGAATTAGCTTGTTCTCAAATTGTTTCATATACATGAAAATGTCGAGCCTTATATAGTAATACAAGTTTTATAGGAGGGCAATAGCATTTTGAAATTATATTCCTGACATGCTTGCAAACATCAGTTCTTTTAGAAAGGGCTTAATAACATGGTAATGTTTATGTAAAGTGGGCTTATAGTGTCACACTCAAATCTAATAAAGTGGACATCCATCATGTTGCAATAAAGAGAAGAGCTTCTAATTAAAGTAGGACATCATTCGTAGGATTAAAGTCATTTAGCGTAATTGAAAAGTGTTAATACCCTATTTTATCCTCTTCCATTGGTATTACTTCAAGGGTAAAAACATTTTAAGGTGAAAATGTGTCTTAGGCCTTTAATTGAATGTTATTACCTCCTGATTGTAACGTATTGAAACTGTTTAATTACAAACCTGGAAAATTAATTACTATGTCGAGAAACAGATCCCAGAGGGTTATAATGTGCTTTTTTGTAAGTAAATACAACATAAAAATTGATATGTTCTTATTTATAATCCAACCTGGAAACATATCTCAATATGATTTGTTATACCCAAATGTTTTACCTAATTGAACAACAGTAAAGCAACATGGGTCATCCAAGTTAACATTACTGTTCCCATATAGGGACTTTCCAAGTTTTATGATTAAGCTGCTTGTGTTTAAGGTGAGATGTATAATAAAGTAATTTTTCATAAAAAGTCCATATTATGAAATTCTTTAAGGGCACATGCACACTTCAGAAGCATTATGCATCTCCTTTTTATTTTCAATGACTTGCTTAATCTTGCATATATGGTATTGTTTAAACCTACCTCCTTTCAAAGCTGTTACTTGGGGCACCTGGGTGGCTCACTCAGTTAAGCGTCCGACTCTTGATTTTGGCTTAGGTCATGATCTCACATTTGGTGGGATCGAGCCCCACATCATGCTCTGTGCTAAGAGTGCAGAGCCTGCTTGGGATTCTCTTACTCCCTTTTTCTTTACCCCACCCCCTCTCTCAAAATAAATATTTAAAAAAAACCTGTTACAATATGCAGAAATCTTATAGCAGGAGAAGATTTGGCTGTCTCTCTCTGTCAGTCTCGGCCACACCCTTTTGTTTTTTTTTTTGTTTGTTTGTTTGTTTGTTTTTAATTTTTTTTTTTCAACGTTTATTTATTTTTGGGACAGAGAGAGACAGAGCATGAACGGGGGAGGTGCAGAGAGAGAGGGAGACACAGAATCGGAAACAGGCTCCAGGCTCCGAGCCATCAGCCCAGAGCCCGACGCGGGGCTCGAACTCACAGAACGCGAGATCGTGACCTGGCTGAAGTCGGACGCTTAACCGACTGCGCCACCCAGGCGCCCCGCGGCCACACCCTTTTGAATACCTTTATGAGAAATTCAGATAATTACATTAAGTATTCAAAATGATAAGTGGAAATCGATTTTGCATTCCTTAGTAATATGCAGTTCATAATTCACATGCATAGTTAAGTTACATTCCACATTATCACAATGTCTGATGAGAGTCATTATTATGCCCATTTTACAGATGAGTAAATCATGTTTCAAAGATATTGAGTAACTAGCAGTAAGTCAGGGAGAGAGTAAATGGTTAAGATAAAGATCCAGGTATTTTAAAGGATTATTCCTTCAGAATAGAGCATGTTGACTTCTTAGAGCATGTTATTTTTGCATGATTTGGAAAAAGTTCCCAGTGAAACACTATGTGGCATTTAGTCATTTCAACACCATATTTTTATAATAACTTTATTTTCTTTTCCCAACAATATTCCAGTAATCATAATAGCCATTGTTAATGTAATTGTCCTCCTGAATGGGAAAAGATATTGATGAGATTGTGTTTCTTCCACAGAACTTGCTTTTCCCAAACCAACCCCAGCAACCCAACAGTAGATGCTCTGTTTCGCCAACTGGAGACCTCACAATAACCAACATTCAGCGATCGGATGCGGGTTATTATATCTGCCAGGCCCTAACTGTGGCTGGAAGCATTTTAGCAAAAGCTCAACTGGAAGTTACTGATGGTGCGATATTGTTGTTTGATTTGTCTTAGGAAAATAGTACTTTTTATTTCAAGATCCATTTTAACCAAGTGAAATTTTTGGGTTGCTAACTATGTAAATGAATGCTTATCTTCTAAGTTTAACTCTAGGTAAAATAACATTTTTAACAGTTTCTAGTTCTCCTTGATTTAATACCATTTGCTTTCCCAAAGAAGAATATCAAAGATTATCTATTTTATTCTTAAAAATAGAATGATGCCTTATTTTAAATAAATGACATCATACTTCGTGTGTATAATGTCATCTGTATATGTTTTTAGTCTTATGCTGACATGATCGCTTCTGATGGACATTAATAATTTTATTTCATGAAAGAGGAAGAGATGTCATGTTTAATATTATCAATGGAAACAGATGAATTTTCAGTTAGCTAATCACATTATGATATCCTATGACTTTTTAATTATTCATTCACTAAGGTAAATTAATTAAATACCTTCCAAACTACTGATGGATCCTAAAATTGTTATTTTTTATTTGTACATATGTACTATAAATCTTAACTGAAACGGCTACATTTATAGTGATAGTTGAAAAAAATATAGTGATTTTCATAATCTGTTTTTTCTCCCCTGATTGCTTATTTGTCACAATTGATAGGTAGGCAGTTTTAGATACTTTAGATGAATTTAAGCCTTGTTCTGTGATGACTTAAACAAAAATTCTCTCTTGTTCTCCTATATTCTGAGGTTTGTGAGGTTTTTATTTTCCCTTGATGCTGACTTCTGAGATTCAAGAATTTTGGTTTGTGACCTCTTTGATTTTCTTCCTTCTCTGCTCATGAAATTTGATGCACTTTTATAAATCAAACTTACATGTATATTATGTGGTAATTTAAAATTAATAGAAAGGAAATATTTTTTTAAATATCTGTCCATGATATTGCCTGATTCACCACCATGTTAGGAATAGGAATGAATGGAACAGACAAACATTGGCCGAGGGAACATTCAGTCATTAATAGCTGTACCTGCTGATGTTGCAGAGACCTGTCATGAAACTGAAAGAAGTCAGGTTCAAGAGTAACAATGCTAAGAAATTCTTCCTTTATATGGGCAAGAGTTTTGATCCTTAATACCTATGTATTTTTTTAAAAGAAATAAAAGATAATTATTCATCCTTTTAAAGTCCATGTATTTTCTACCATTAACAAAAATATCCAGGTACATATACTGGGAAAACAAGATATTCTGGCCATAGCCCAAGTTGTTTTATATATATATGATATATATATCAAATATACTGTATATGTGATATATATCATATAATATGATATATATGTGATATATATATCACATACATACATACATAATATGATATATATATCATATATATATATATACCATATATATATGATATATATGATATATATATAATGATATATATATGATATATATGATATATATAATGATATATATGATATATATAAAAGATATTCCAAACATAATCCTGAAGACCTCCACGTTAATCTAGCTGCTTATATTATTTTACAAAGGACAGACTCTAAAACATTTCTAAATAAAGAAATTGTTATGTAAAAGGCAAACCATATTTTAGAAAGCAAAATTGATGAATTAGAAGAGCCGATTGATAGGACAGATATTCCGAATCATGTCCGATGCAATGAAAAGGAAGACTTTTATTTTCCTGGTGTTGGTTGATGACATAATCTCATGGAACAGTAGTTATTCTAGCTTTGTTTCTGAGGTTCAAAGTAAAAGAGTGATAAACAAGTTTAAACCTGATGATTGGAATGACTGTGAACATTTTGTTATAACTGGCTTGAATATTAATTCCTACATTGATTTTTACTTAAGTAAGCAATCACAAAGTGAAGATCCTTTTGCAAAAACATTGAATGAAGGTTATAGAGTTATTGATTTTGACAGTAAAAAAAATTCTAACTTCAAGACATAAACACATACACACACACACAGACACTATTATTATAAATAACTGTTTCTTAATATTAACTTGCCACATTGGCTGATGACTTTGCTTCTATTCATAGTTTTGAATTTTTCAGATTGGTTAACAATTTAATGGTACATGAGCTATCATTTTCATTTGGAACATTTTTTGGAGGGTGTGACCCAGGGCAATTTAGAGTCAATTGAAATTCCAGTGTAGAATAAAAACGTATGTTGTGTTCAGAGAAACAAGCAAAACATCCATAGAGATGTTTCTGTTGCTACATTTTTGCACTTAAACTCCTTTCTGGGAAGTATTTTTAACTCAAGTGTTCATATAAGATGAGATTGCTAATGGTGATGAAATGTTCTGTTGAGTGATAATTTTACTGATTATAGATTGAATGAAGATGCTTCAATATACTTGAATTTCAAAATATCCTTTTAGAAGACCTTCTCATTAATTCATTGGCACTGTTCATTTCTTCTTTTCTTTTGCTCTGTATCTCAGAGAATGAGAAAATTGTAATGAGAATTCTGAGTAGAGCCAATAGAATCTAAAGGGACTGGAAAGAAGAAATGTATTTATATATTATATTGACAATAAATGTCACACCATGATCTTATATGAATGGTTTATTGAGGATTGATAATGCATAGAGAAAACCGTGGAGTTGTTCACAGATCACTGGAAACCCTAAATGTTCATTTAACCTTTCACCTCAGTGTCATGGAAACCTGTGGTCATCTCTCACGCATAACATCTTTGAAACTGAAAATTCCTTCTGGCCAGGAGATTTTCAATTACTTTATTGATCAAATTCATTAAAAAGACTTTGAGCTACTCATTTGAGCAATAAAAAAGAAAGAAACTAATTAGATGTCCTTGGCTGTATCTAATGATTTCAGGGATATAAAAATAAAAACAGGCCATGAGAAGTTACCTGAATTCTGTAGAGATATTTAAATTGAAACAAAGGAGTAGGAATATTTAAAATTGAATAAATAGATTCTACCCTGGTAATGCAAACCCATTTTTCTCATTAAATTTAGAAATCATTTATAATATTTTGTGAATTGGCCTTCTATTTATGACCCATAAAGCAAGTAATTTCCATGAATATTCAGTTTGAATATCAGTTTGTGCAGTTACTGCTAGATGAGTCAGTATTGGTGTATATCGTATTTTCACACTATCTGAAGATTATTTTATTTATTTTTAAAATGAAGAATTTGATCAAGAAAATCAGGAAATAACTGGTTCTAATTTTTCTTTACAAATAATATACAAACAAAATTTTATTGTTTTCTTAGGTTTTTATAAGGTTGTTACATACATATATATTTATGTATATGTGTACATTTACAAATATATATTTATTTACATACACACACACACATACACACACAGACCTAAGCACACATTGTAATATATATTTTGAGGTAGTAGTGTTAGTGTGATTGAAAATCCACTGTATTTTGACATGCAGTGGATCTATTTCATAACTTCTATTTTAAATTAAAATTGGTTGTCTTTCTCATGGTAGGCTATAAAAGTGCTGGTTAATTTAATGTTTTTCCCCCCAAACCATGAATTCTAATAGTAAATATGATGCATATGGATTGGGAAATAGCTAATCATATAAACTTTTATTCATGAAAGCTGTGGACTAAGACTATTAGAGTATTAATGAGCAAAATGATATTTTGATTACGTACATTTAACACAAGATTACTTTCTTCAAAGCCACTTTCTCCTCATAGTTGCTTAGCAATCATCAAATCATTAAAATCCACCATTCTTTTTTTTTCCTTTCTGTGGAAGTTCGTGTTTATATATGATGTAAAGATTTTTGGTAATTATATCATAAATGTAATAGAAACATACATAAATATTTTGGGTAGCTAACCAAACTCTATGCTGAATACAGAACTTTCTCTTAAGAAAGCCTCACTTGGACATGGATGGACATGTCAGCTTTATTATGTAGTGTTCTAATAAGTTCTGGATGAAAGTTTGCATCCAATTGACTCCCTATTTGTATCACCCATTTAAATCATACTATACATTCTGATATACTTCCTAAATCATTATGAAATACTTCCAAAGGCACTGCAAATACTGCTACAAAATATTTTTTAAAAAACACTGAACTAGAAGTTTATGATATTGTATAAATTTTACCCAGATGAACATAGAAATTGATATATAGGTAAACACTTATTTGAAATGAAAACGCTATTTTTTCATACCGTAAATATAGTACAAATAGATTTCTTTGCTTAACTCTAAGGAATAGTAAAATCATGTCATCCGAATTGGATTACTGTACTCTAACTCCCAGTGTCATAGTCTTGGAAATAGTGTTTATACCTAGTAACTTAACATCAACCAAAATATCATAATCTATATAAATACAGCAAGGTGCTTTGAAGGGTGATATTATGTATTATGCATATATTTATAATAAAAGCAAAAGTAAAAATTGTTTATACCCATATGACACTCCACAGACTTTCTTAAATATGCCTATAAGAGACAAAATGGACATTTTATGAATAACTGCCATGAACTCTCTATATTTTAATTTTAATTTCAATATGATTAAGACTTTCAACAATAATAAAATGTCAGAATTTATTTCATTGTCATCTACTGTAGGTAATTCAGAGTTAGTTACAAATAATAGTATGTCCTCAGTAAGTATAATGTATGTATAGTATATATAGACGATAAATACATAATGGATAAAGAATATGCTGAATAAATTATAATATGTGTGTAATTCACATCTAATCGTATAATATAACTTCTTAGAAGTTAAAATATCCTGAAAATATTCGTATCCTTTAGTTTTGACAGATAGACCTCCACCCATAATTCTACAAGGCCCGGCCAACCAAACACTAGCAGTAGATGGTACAGCGTTACTGAAATGTAAAGCAACTGGTGACCCTCTTCCTGTAATTAGCTGGTTAAAGGAGGGATTTACTTTTCTGGGTAGAGATCCAAGAGCAACTATACAAGAACAAGGAACATTGCAGATTAAGAATTTACGGGTAAGTAATGTTTGACTTGTATTTGGATCTTCATTTCCGCATAAGTATCACCGTAGGGAAAAATTGCTTTGTGAACTTAAAGTCTCACAGACTAGTACAGTTGCTCTACCTTTTGTGGTAGGCCATGTTATATCTTATTTTACAAATGATGAATTGAAATTAGAAGGAAAGTCCTTATGTTGGTGATAAGTTCATAACAGACCTAGAAACTTTTTATTCTATCCCAGCTCACACTTACCCAAATGATAAAGCTAAAATCTTAAACACATGAAGTTAATGATAGTAATAGGATATTTATAATTGGAAAGTGTCAAATGCTTCTGATTTACTCTCTTGAGTAAAGGAAGCTTTCAAGGAATTGTGGATAAGTTGGCTTGGCCAAACTATTATGTGGAAAAAACTAGAGGTAAGATTGAGTACATAAAAGGCAGCTTTGGCTAGTGGGTGGAAAATCTTACATTTTTGGTTAAGTTGCTCTGGAGTATAGATTTAAACCTGTGGGCAAGGACAAGTCATTGTTGTTCTTTTAACAGAAGATGATGTGCTAGAGAATGACCATTCCTGCCAACTGAACATATTAAACGTACTTCAGAAGCAACTCAAATGCCTATTTCTGAATATTGTATTAGCTGTCTACTGCTATTTAACAATATTAGCAAACATTTAAAGGCTTAAAGGAACATAGAGTTACTCTCATAGTTTCTGTGGGGTTAGCAGTCTGGGCATGACTTAACTGGGTCTTCTACTTCCAGGTGTCACAAAGTTACAATCGGGTATCAGGGTTATGGTCTCATCTGAAGATTGACTGGGGATAGGGTTCACTCTGAGCAACATGATTGTTAACAGCATTTAGTTTCTTATGGCTGTTCTTATGTTCTTATGGTAACCATACTGATTACCTCAGCTTCTTATTTGCTGTTTACTGAAGGCTGCCTTTAGTTCCTTGCCATACTGATATTCCCATTATGACTACTTGCTTCCTGAAACTCAAGAAAGTACAGAGCCTTCTAGCAAGACAGGCATTATAATATTATGTAACATAAGATGTGACATCTTATGCATTACAAATATGACATACTATCACCCTTGCTGTATTCTTTTGTCTAGAAGCAAGTCAACAGTTCCCACACACATTCATGGTGAGGACTTGATTATACAAGATGTGAATACCAGTTGGATGTTATCATGGGGACCACCCACCTTCTACAAGTATATTCACTTCATTCAACAAAATGTAGACAGCCTCCCCTCCATGTGGCAATCACTACACTAAAATAGAAGAACATGCTAGAATAATCAAAAGATTATGAATGAGAACCAGAAATAAGATATAATAGTGCATGAACAAAAATTAATTAAAAATTATTTGGTGGATGAACAATTAGTAGAATCTGGTATCTAAGTAGAACCAAGAGGGGTGCCTGGGTGGCTCAGTTGGTTAAGTGGCCAACTTTGGCTCATGTCATGATCTCGCGGTCCGTGAGTTCGAGCCCTACGTCGGGCTCTGTGCTGATAGCTCGGAGCCTGGAGCCTGCTTCTGTTTCTGTGTCTCCCTCGCTCTCTGCCCCTCCCCATCCGCGCTCTGTCTCTCTCTGCCTTTCAAAAATGAATAAATGTTAAACAAACAAAAAATGTTTAAGTAGAACCAAGGTAAAAAAAAAAAAAGTGGGAAAAACAATGCTGAATTTTCCCATTCAGAAACTAGAAGAAGAAGATAAAATATTTTTTGTAACATGTATTTTTAAACAATTACAACATGGATTATTATCTTAAAATACAGATATATTTACAATCACTTCTTAATTTGGTATTTATCAGTGTATCACACAGACATATACAAAAAAGGAAGAAGAACTCTTTTTGCAGTATGTACATACACACACAAACTTTTGTTAATTTGTGTATTTGTTAATAACATTAATATATAGTTTTTTTTTCATTTTCATTTTAAGACATAAGCATTAATTTTCGCTTTAACTAGAAAAATACTGTCAGATTAACTTAAAAGAAAAGTAAATTAGTACAGATTTTAGCCTTTTTATTGATAGTAAATTAATTGTTAACCTTCTTTGAACAAATGAGAGTTATTAAAAAATTAATGCCAACTCTCCTTGAGTAAACACTTGAACCTCTCTCTTTGGGCTAAAGTCAGTCTTGGGCCATGGAGGTTAATGCATTTTCACTGTACTGCTGAATTAAAGGGTGTGCTTGAATAGTCAAGATCCCCAGTAGTGTTTGAAAGAAGCAATTAAAGGTAGGTGCTTGATGATGTCAAACAAACTTCGAGCCCTGTGACAGGCTTCTGAGCAGTCTCTCTGGGATGCAAGCTCCTGGAGACTTGTCGACAGCCAACCACACGAGGAGAAAAGCAGGTGATAGAGTGTGCCAGCACATTAATTTTTTTAAAGCACTTGGTTAAAGATAAAGAGAGAAGGATAGAAGAGATATGAAGTACCTGAAAAGAAAATATTTAAAGTTAAAGGAATAAAATGAATGTAGTGGCGATGATGGTAATGCAGGAGTGAGTTTTTAGCAATGATATTTCAGCTTCAGATATTGCTTTTGATAAACTCCAGTATGAAAATGTTGTTCTTTTTCTGTAAAATGACTGTCTTTAAAGGGAGCTAAAAATGTGCTTTATTCGTATAGTCAAGAGAGGGTTTCTGTAGGTCATATTCCTTTGTGTCTCACCGTTTCTTCCTTCCTTCCTTCCTTCCTTCCTTCCTTCCTTCCTTCCTTCCTTCCTTCCTTTCTTTCTTTCTTTCTTTCTTCTTTCTGGTACTTAATGCAAGGGGGGAAAAATAACGTGATGAACACTGTATTCTCATGGTCCAGCTAATTGGTAACCGAATCTGTGTCTTTCGAGAAGTAGAATATTCCCATACTCATTAAAACCTACCTACCACAGCTAATGTCAGACCGTGTCTCTACACAATGACAAGGAGATGTAGTTAAGAAGCATTACCTACATACACTTATTTTAGCATTTGCACATAATAACAAGTGCTACATTTTAGTTCAACAGCTATAATAAAATGCAAATTCTTTACTCTTTCACAGACCATATTCAAATGAACATCGCATTAAAATCCAACCTTGGCTCATTATATTTAGTTTGTGAGTGATGCTTCTTAAATGGAGAGATTTCTAATGACTATAATGCATGCACAGCCACATTTGAAAGAATGGCTCTTTCTGCAGTGGCTATCCCCCATCATCCTGCTGTATAATAGAAGACAATTGTATGAAGATAACATGGCAAAGAATGATGTGCCGTTCGAATGATGAGCACTTTGAAACTCAAGTTACAATACATAATGACATTTAAAATCAATTAAAACAGTGGCACAGCAGTAACATCCATGCACTAATAATTCACCTGAGACTTAGTTGTGGAAGGTTGAGTCACCAATACACTTACATTTTGAACCCAGCAGGTATATTCCATGAACTCTCAGATTTCATCAACAATTAGACTCATCCTTATCACAGAATTTTAATCTTATGTGAGATGACCTGCCTCATTCAGTTTGGTGATCAAACTGATTGTATTATCAACTACTTTAAAAATCTTTTGCCACTCTTCAAATGAATAACAAAAACAGTTTAAGTGACCGATGAAATGGCAATTTTTAAGTATGCTTTAAAGAGTTGTGAATGAGTTATTTGCATGGTCCCTTTCAGCTCTGAAGTGCAATGATTCCATAGACATGGTTTGTTTGGTTTTTAATGATACAACTTTATTTCATTCTCTGTCATACTACTCCAACTTAAATATAAGTGAATACTAATTTATTTATGGGGAGAGATTTAGTTGCTTAGGGGGTGTGTGTGTGTGTGTGTGTGTGTGTGTGTGTGTGTTTTCCTTCTTCACTTTCTCCATGTCTTAAAAAAAAGAAAAGTCAGCCCCGTGTTATTTCAGTGCTTATTTACTCCTGAGTACATTTTCTCCATTGAAACGTAATGTATTGGAGATAGAGAGGACAGCTTTGCATTTCTCATCTCTGAATATTTATAAGGTTCTGAAAAGTTCTTTCCTGAGTTGCCCGCATGTAACTCTCACACAGCGAAGCCCCATTATAAATTGGAGTTATACAAAGATAAGGGCATTACCATGGAGGCAAGAGGGTCAAAGAGAGTTTACCAGACAAATAACATTTAATTGTAGAAGTATAATAAAAAATCATTGAATTCCTTTTATGAATAAAATAATATATGAGTTTATTTTAATATTTTATGTGTACCTATTATTCATTCTAATGAATAATTTTGACAGCTAAATAACACACCACATTTTAAGAAATTAAATATTACCTTGTTGAGATTGACGAAATACAAATTAATTGAAAGAGTTGAATTCTCTCCCTTCCTTGCACACTAGATTTCTGATACTGGTACTTATACTTGTGTGGCTACAAGTTCAAGTGGGGAGACTTCCTGGAGTGCTGTGCTGGATGTGACTGGTGAGTCCTTGGGAATTACCTTAACAGAAGAAAACTCGAGTCCATTTTAGTGATTAGCTCATTACCAAATAACAATTGAAGATTCAGAATTCAGATTCAGATTTTAAATTCATTGAATGTAAAAACTAAGTCGTATGCCACTTTTCAATTCCTCCACAAAACATTGCATATATGCAATCTGATATAGTTAAGGGGAGAGGTTTTCTTGCTTTTTGTCCTTGATAAGTGTATTTGTTATCTCTCTCTGAAGAATAAGCAATTCTAGAGCTTATGTGAAAGTAAGCATTTGGTAACATGTTGGAAAAGCAAATATTCATTTATATACTTTTGATTCATGAAAATGAACTGCTCATTGTCTAGGTCAATTTCTTTTTTTTTTTTTTTT